CCCCTACCACTTCATGGGCATGCGAGGAATAGGCTCTCCTTTGTACCATGCATAAATATAACAACATTATGAGAAACATCAGCTATATGTTTTGCCTTACAGTTATTGGCAAGTAACTGAGGTGATGGTAAAGGTTTTCAGAGGCAGGGATGTAAGCTGAGCTTTCGGAGGAAATTTAGTTTGAATTATATTACTGATTATTTACGATGCAAGCTCCTAGCATATGACATCCTGATCCTAGCAAGTGCAGCACAGACATGTGCTTTGCTCAGAAGATAAGCTGAAGGTTATCTTGCAGTTTTAGAACCTGCGGCATGTAAATACACAGATCCGTGTAGCTGTTCAGCTGGCAAAGATGGAAATAGTGGGGTTAAAGTACAAATGTTCCCCAAGTACTTTTGGGTTTTCATTAGTACTCCCAAGCTGCTTTCTATAAGACTCAAAGGAAAACAGAAATGCTTGTGTTTGGTCATATCGTGCTGCATATTTTTTTATGCCAAGATGCAAAGCGAAATGTGTAAATCTTTGGTAAATCTAACATGTCTCTGCAAACAGATGGATATTCAAGCCTCAAAATAATTTCCTCTGTAGAAACCTGCTCTTCACAAGGCCCAGAAACATCCACTCTTGTGAAATCCACTTTATCATCAAGTCCAATTGCCTACAGCACGCCCACGCAGGGGAGCACCATGGGCCTGACATACGCGACGGGCACCGTCACCGAGAGCACCAGCACCCTGCTGCCCACTGCCCCCCCCCGCACCTTCGTAACCTCCCCAGGAGAAATCTATCGTGAGAGGTAAGTTCATGGCCACGTTTCTCGTTGACACCAAGTTGGTGGTTTACGACCTGTCTGCCCCATTTCCTGGGGCCCTACCTAGGTTGTGCACGGGTTTCAAGTTGAAAACGCTAATACATTAGTAATTAGAAAAGCAGAAGGCAAGCTTATCTCATGTCCATCTGTGGCATGTATCTCTGAACTTGCCTCTAAATCTTCTGGTGCTGGCTGCTCCTGTAGATCAGATGCCAGAGTCAATAGATGTGCTCCTGTCTGGTTTTCTTTGCTCAGCGTGGAGACAGAACATTAGGAAACATTAGGCTTGAGCAATAACGCTGGTGAAGATGTAGCTGCTACATACTTCACCACGTGCATTATCCAAGTCCTTATAGGCAGCCAGCAACCAGGGTAGCGTTTGGGTGCTCTGTGTTGTGTAAGGAGCTATCTTTGGATAAGGTTAATCAAAAGGCTGTGGGCTATTTTGGCCAGTAACTATACCATGGAACTCCTCTACAGCAAGCCCTGCGGCTCACCCCAGTGCAAATGAAACGTTTCCCTGGTGAATTTACCTCCTGTGCTTCCTGTCACACAGGGTGGCTGTGAGCAGCTCCTACACCTCTCACCCCAGCTATGGCCACCATCCAGCGCCGGGTGAAGTCATTTGCATAGCTGGTGCAGATGCATCGGATATCGCACTATCAGTCATAACTGAAAATAAACCACAAAGTCCACAAATCCAGTTCAATATCCTGAGCTGTCCCCCCACGCACCTCGGAGCTCACATCTTCCCCAGTGAGCCCCAGCATGAAAAGCACCATCCTCTCCATCCCCAGCCTCCCTCAAGCCATATCTCCTGCCATCCAGCCAGCGAGAGGAGGGGAGAGCATATTACCAATCACAAAACATGCTCTTGTATAAAGGGTCAGATTTTGCACCATTCCTGGCAAAGCTCTGCCTGCCTGAGGCGCTCCGATAGCATTTATAACTTTTTTGCAAGGAGAAGGCACATAGACACCCTCTGACAGCATGAGGGTCTACAACAACTCACAAAGAAAGAGTCTGAACCTCGCTTGTGAATTTGTGTGATGAAAATTGCTCATTTTCCTTCTGGAGGGACTAATCCAGCTGGCAGCATAAACCCCACACAGTAGAGCAGAGGCAGCTGTAGAAATTAGTTCCTCACAAGCCAAATTCCAGATCAAATAGTTTCATCTCTATTTGACTTTGTTCTCCTTTGATTCAGTCAGAGTTTAGCACTCGTTTATACTCTTTGGTGTAAAAACAGCAGCCTGCATTAAGGTACTTCAGCCACCCCGTAGCTGAATCAAAATCCAATTTAATTCTGATGGTTCATCTTTCCAGCTCATCGCATGAATCACGTCTACTCTCAGTTGTGTTACCAGCTCTCATTTTACTGATTTTCATCACTATCACTATTCTTGCCCTGACCAAAATAAAGCTTCGCAAGGAGACTGGTAAGTCAGCCAGCCAACGCCTTTCGGGTTGAGGTCGTTGTTTTGCAATAGCTTTGCTTGTGACTTCCAAGAGCTGGAGTCTGACCCACTGAAGATTTCCATCTCTGGAGACATGCACCCACTTTGCAGCCAGTGCAGCCTGAAAGTACAACTGTACTAGAGAAGTTGAGGCAAAAAGCAAATGAAGGAAATGGAAATTCTGAAGCCCTGCTGAATTCCAGTTTGAGTTTTGTGTATAGAAGATTTCCGGCTCCGTGAGTGCTCGGAAATCCTGAAGTATAAAGGGCAGGGACCTGCGCGGCGCGAGTGGCTACATGCCGGCTGGCTTCTTGGGGCCGAATCCAGCCTGCTTGGTGCAAAGCTGACAAAGACTTGCCCCAAAAATCCTTGCTAATGACTGATTTTCAAAAATACGTGCATATATATCTTATTTTATAACATACTGTGTCCCTAGAGATAAATTTAGGGGTAAAAACCTTCAGCAAGGACGGCAGTGAGTAGAAATATATTTTTCACAAGAGTGAAACTGGGAAAAAATGGGTCTAATCCGGTGTCTGTTATGACATGCTTGTATATTTGAATAGGCATTAGAGGAGGTGTTCCTTCCGTTGCATGCATATTTTCTGTTTTTAAGGAGAAGAAAGCAGCACCATGGGAAACCTGGAAGCGGGGCCGATTTGGTCTGATCTGAACCCTGTAAAAGAGCAAACGACGGAGGAAACCCTGAGTCCAGAAAAAGTGCACGAATGCAGGACGGACTCTGGCAAACATAGGTGGGTTTTTCTGGAACTGGTGCTGCAAATGTCGCCTCCCTTGGTAGAAGAGAATAAAACCAAATTTTAAGCAAAGGGTTTGCAGCTTAGTATGTAAAAATACTTCCACAGGATAGACACCAGGCTTGCAGTCCTGGAATTACGATCCTGCAGTCCAGGATTTATGTTCTGATGCCAAATTATTGCCTTTATTCCTTACCAAGAGACGTTGAGCCATAGATTTCAAAAGACTTGGATTAAATCCTATATGAGGTTTATAAATTTATTATAGGGTTGATTATAATTTTTGCTTACGCATAGAAAACATGTTATCACTGTTCCTGCTTGCTTGTTTCAATAAAGACTGATTGCTTATGACCTCTTGCAATATTACACAGAAGCAATTCTTGTCCACTGTGTTGCAATCATATTATTCTTTTTTTGTCCTACTTGTGCAGGATAACCTATGCTATCCTTGGAAGATTCAGGATGACCAACTTATGTGTAAGAGTCTATGTCTTCTGGCAAAATATAAAAATAGTGGCCCTGTCTTGGAGTATTAGTACTTTAGAGACAAGCTCTTGTAGAAAACATCTATTTTAAAGTACATCCAATTTGTGGAAATTCCTATCAGTGACATGTACTCTTCATTAAAAAAAAAAAATAATCAAACTTAGTGGAATAGTGCTTCCAAAAATTTGGGGATGGCATTCCATATTCTCATTGCAATGCACTTAGATCCAAACTCTCTGATCGTATAAGCAGGTGATAATATTTTAAAGTCAGGGAGCTGCAGAGGGAAATAAGCCATTGTGAGAATCTGCACCCTCTGGAGCGCCCTACCACCTGCGTGCACCCTACTGCATGTACGCTTGTATTTCTTTTCCTATTTGAAACATCCACTGGCTTGATCAGAAGCAGAAAGCAGATCTACAGACATCACATTTTCAAAGCTACTTAGAGAATATACTGTAGACATATAGAGAAGCCTTTAGAGTGGCGTTAAAACAAAAGTCACCAAGGTTGAAATCTAGAATATTTTGTGGAGAGTGATACAACTTGCTAAAACTACACGAGTTTTCTTGCTCTGTGTGATTTTACTTTACCAAAAAAAAGCAGCTGTATGAAGGGTTCTTGCAGTCCTAAATGTAAAGCATAGAAAGAAAAAAGTACACCCCCCCTAAAACCTTGAAAATAAACAATCAACATTCTGTGAAAAACTTCCAAACATGAGAACGCAAACCAGAAGTTGTTAATAGCGCCTTTTGTGTCTAGATGCCTGTTTTGGGCTAAAGCCCGGGATAACTCTCCTCTTAAGCTGAGCAGGAGGTTGACTCCAGAAGTCCCCTCCGACCCAGGTTTTTCTAGCTTTCTGTTCTCAGGACTCCCTGAAATACCAGACCCATTTAAAATAGCAAGTCTGGTGTAAAAACAGAAACACCCACAAAATCACTTGTAAAAATATTGTAGAGGCAATGCCAGATCACAGCTTTTCTTCTGTTTTGGTTTTTGTTCGTTTGTCTTTTTTACAGCAATCCTACAAGGAAAAAAATTACTTTTCAAGGTGACCGATGAGGACTTGAGACAGAACCCCCTTCCGTCAAAGCCCCCCTGTACAGGAGCTCAGAAGTTTACCTAC